TACTCCAGTGCGCGGGTCCCCTTCCTTCCCCGGGCTGTCCCCAAGAGCCCTCCAGTCATTTGACTTTTGCTCTCTGGCCTTGCGCCGGTGAAACTCCCTTCGAGGACATGCAGTTGGTATTTTTTTCTGTAGTGATCCTCCATTCCTTGGCCCTCCTTCAGAGCCAATTCTCCGGTGCCACCCTCCTAATCTTTCACCTCTGACAAAACACCTTATCTTCTTAATCCGGTTTCTTCTGGATTTCAGACTTTTATCTAAGAGGCATGTGCAGTTTTGCACGTGAATTTGCAAGGTGAAGGGGATTTTTTTCTTACCCCCTTTTCACTCTTGCTGTGCAGTGTTGAACAGCTGTATGTTAGCGGGTGGTGGCCTCACTGGTAAGAATACTCTCCTGGATGGGAGGCACCAAGTGCTTATCTCAGATGAGCTGTGAGTAGGGTCCTTGTCAGGTGACCAGGACTGCCTGCCGACCTTGGACTCCAGCCCGGGACCTCTTGAGAGCCAGCACAGACCCTTGCGTCATGGGGTATGCTAATACTTTTTAGAGCAAGGCACTGTCTTTTCTTTGGCAGAGACCTCCGCTGAATTCATGTGCTGTAAAACAGTTTGGTTACATTGTGAACTATTCAAAGGGCACAGGCAACCGGTTTGGGAAGTGGGAAGCACCAGGTGAAAGGGATTTTGTGTTCCTTTGGAGCCATACGTTGGACGTTTTTGGACCGAAATTACTCGTTGTTTTAGATTTCATAGTTACTTGATTCTGGGCAGTCTAATGCAGCACTATCTTAAGTGTGCAAAGGCGATGGATGGGCACGCGGGTGTGAGTCAACAAAACACTACTTCTGAAAACAGGAAGAAAAATTGTGCTTTCAAATGGCTTGAAATTTGTCTCCCAATTTTATTTGTTATATTTTAGAAGAGGTTTAAAGGATTTTAAAATGAACACGATGATTTTATTATAAAATGCCACAATACACATGTATTGTAGAGGAGGTGGTATTTGCTTAAAGGAAGTAACTCCAGTCCAAGCTCAGTGCCAGGTACTACTACTGTATGCAGACTAAGCATGTGTTTAGTGACTGGATGAATTATATGGCATGTGTCTAGGTATGTTTTTAGTGGTTCCAGGAACTAGAAAAAAAAATAGTCTTAAAGTTGAAATGAGAACATCCCAAGCTTGTAAGAGTGGGATATTTTCTTTCTTTTGGTTTGTTTGTTTGTGTGGTTTTTTTTTGTTTTTGTTGTTGTTGTTGTTGGGGTTTTTTTTTGTTTGTTTGTTTTTCGAGACAGGGTTTCTCTGTGTAGCTTTGGAGCCTGTCCTGGCACTCGCTCTGGAGACCAGGCTGGCCTCGAACTCACAGAGATCCGCCTGCTCCTGCCTCCCAAGTGCTGGGATTAAAGGCGTGCACCACCAACGCCCAGCGGGATATTTTCTTAATATTGCACTACCTCCTAGTCTGTCTTTGTTTCATGTGATTGTGTATAGTTGGTGTGTCTTACTACTTTTGGATGACTTTGTTTTTAAAATAGTCTCAACTAAATTGCCCCGGCTAGGCAGGAGTTTGCAGTCTTCTTGCTACAGTCCTCCCAAATGCTGAGGCTGGGTTGTTTTTAACCTGGTTAATTTTAACTGAGCAGTTTATTAACCACAGTGTAAAATACATTCATTACAGCCTTGAAGTCCCCACAAATTTTTGTTTCATTTTGTTTTGAGATAGAGTCTCACCATGTAGCCCATGGCTGGCTTGGAACTCCCTATGTAGACCCGGCTGGCCTTGTACTTACTGGCAGAGATCCACCTGCCTCTGTGTCCTAAGTGCTGGTATTGAAGGTGTATACCACAATGTCTGGCTTGTGGGCACATATCTTAAAGTTTAGATTAAATTAGAGAAATGAGAGTAAAGAGTGTCAGAAGGGAGCATAAGAGCATGCCCCAGTCTGTAGTGTGCTTACACAGAACCGTGGAGAAGAGGAGCTGGAGGGCGAGGTAGATGGAATCTGGATTTGACTGTTGGTTCCAATTAATAACCATGATAATAATGAACATATACCTTGCTAGGGATTCTCCTTACTGACTTACATACTAATTTAGTCTTCATAGTATCATCTAATACGGACTATTATTTTACCCACCTTACAGGTTATGCAACTGAAGTATTTGCATAGGTTAACGCAGCTAATTCTTGGCAGACATTTGCATCCAACTTAGACAGTTGGCTTTGATGCCATCATCATCATAACACTTCTTTTTAGTCTCTCTTTAAAGATTTTATTTATGTTGTGAGCATGCATGTGGGTACACATGTGTACTTTGTGTGTGTGTGCTTCTCTCTGCCTTGTGGTTCCTAGGGGTCAAACTCAGCTTGTCAGGTTTGGCAGCCAGCACCTTTATCCCCTAAGCACTTTCATTACCTCTGCCTCCTCTCCTACTGCTGGGGACCGAACCTATGACCTGCTTCATCCTTAAGCTCTCAATGATTTCTCAAGCAGCCCACACTTAATCTGATCTAGGAAAAGAAATCCAACACCTCTCAGCTTCCTCTTTAAAATAAAGGCAAGGGTATCTTCTTATCAGGGTTGCTAGTGGGGATTAAGTATGTGAAGCACTTCATTCTAATGATAGCACATAACATTGTTGAATGATCTTGGCTAATGCCACTTTCAGTGTTCTTATCAGTTATTTTGTCTCTGTCTTTACTTTGAAATATTTTCTTGAAACAGTATTTTGGTTATATATGTGGCACCAACTTGTTAAATAGTTATAATGCATATAAGGGTTGAAAAAAATCATTGTTAAATTTCGAGTTCATTATTTTCCCCCTCTTAGTGCTAGAGGTAATGTGGGCATTTTTTTTTAATTCTCTCTCTCTCTCTCTCTCTCTCTCTCTCTCTCTCTTGTGTGTGTGTGTGTGTGTATGTGTGTGTGTGTGTATGTGTGAAGTTCCCCTGGACCTGAGTGACAGGTAATGTGAGCAGCTCAGGATAGGTGGTGGGGTTCAAACTCCAGTCTGCTGGAAGACTGCTGAGCCAGCTCTCCAGCCTCTGCTAGAGTGCCCCCACCATGTGTGTTTGAGACAAGGTCACATGTACCCCAGGCTAGCCTCCAGCTCCATATATACCTGAGGATGACCTTGAACTTCTTTCTGAGTCTCCTGCTTTGACCTGCCTAGTGCTGGGATTATAGTTGTGTAACACTGTGCCCAGTACCAGATCTAACCCAGGGCCTCTAGGGCCTTATGCAGGTTAGGCAAGCACTGTACTAATTGAGCTATCTCCCCAGCCCTGGGTCGTTGCATTTTAATAAGCCTTTTGAGCACTGGTCCAAATTTTGAGGAAAAATATAATCAAGGGAGAGATCTATTAAGTAACTTGTTTTCCCCTAAAAGTGGGGCCAAGTATTTTCTGGAGAACCCTTGGGAATTCTTGGGAATTCCCTTGGGATAAATGGAAACATAGCTGGACCCAAAGGTGCTGCTCTAGAGGGTGAGCTGAGCCCTCATAGTGGATACCCTGGTCTGAATGAAATGACATGATGTCTCTCGGAGGTACATGAAGAGGCTTTTATTGTAGTTGTGAGGGAGAGTGCATCCAGAGGCGTTGGCAAGAGTCCAGAGCAGGGGGATAAAGGAGTAGACTAAACATGGCCAGTAGATTGGACTGCCTGTGAGAGGAGGCTGAAGTGAGGAGCAGGAGACAGATGGGAAAGGAGGGGAGGTCGAAGAGGAGAGGTGAGGTAGAGAGCAGAGAGAGAGAGAGCTAATGAATGCTGACCGGCAGGGTTAAAGGAATGAGAAGCTGAGAAGGGAAGCCCTTTTGCTGGAGAAGTTTAGGGTGGGGCAGGGAGAGAAGAGCTGAGGGGAGCCAGGATGCCAGCATGGACTCTGAAACAGGTGCTTGTGGTGTGAGAGAACCTGGGGTCAGCATACACTTTAGTATGCTAATAACCACCACAGTTAGCCTTTTGTCCCAAGTCTCCTTAGGAAGGCAGGTCACATCAGTGGGTGAGTGTAGCAAGGACCAGCTTGTTTGTTGTAAGTCACGTTGGTCTGAGTTCCTTATAAGTCAGAGCACTAGACTGTGTCCTTAAGAGTCCTTTAAGCAATCTAGATCAACTGTGCCCTCAATTCGGAAATGTTTGGTTCTGCTTTGTAGGGTACAACCTGACTGTAACATTAGCACTCAGGAGACGACAGGAGGCCTGAGCATTAGAGGTTAGCCTGGACTGCACAGTGAGACTTTGACTCCAAGGAAAAAGAAAACTTCTGGCTTTAGCATTAGTGTTCTGTCTTGTTATAGGTGCTATTATGTGTCTTACGCCCTGCTCTTGAGGTAAGAATGTATTTCAGGCCCATCATCATTGACAAACAAATCTACACACCCTTTCCTGAAACTTCCATGACTACTGCATTATCTCACCATCAAATACCTGCACTCTCTATAATGAAGTTCAGAATATTTATAC